AGGTGACAAATGCCGCAGCGTGGTGGTACTTCCCCCCTCCCTAATTCCACATGGAGCCCTTCATGGTGACTCGGCCTTGCTTAAAGCTCACCGTCACCAGCTCCAAGGCAAACCCATGCCCCTCACTGACTTATCAATGTTAAAGTCGCATGCGCAGATGCAAATTCACCCCTTCAGTGGATGAGTTAAAAATATCTTGGTAGGAGCTGGACTTTGCACTCATCCGCGTTCAACCTGCTTAGGTATCCAGACATTCTCATTTGATTGGCTTTCAGGAGCCTCTCTCACATGCCCTCGAGATTTTCCTATTCGGTCCTCTTAAGCTTACCAGATTGCACCACGATGGTTGTAATCTGAAAATGATGAAGTTAATAATAGCCCGGGAAGGTAATTTAATAAGCACGCAATTGCTCCCGCCGTAAAAAAATCTTTATCTAAAGGAGTAAAAAGCGACCATCTATGCACCTTGCTAGTAAAAAACAAACATTGCACTGTCCCTGTTCTCAAGGCCAACTGGCCAAGTATTTTGTTGAGGACGAGACGGCTAATTTTGCTGTAAAATTCTAACTCCTTTTCTGCTTGCTTTTTTTTTTAAAAAAAAATTAAATTCTGCACCTGCATTTCATCAGTTAAAGTTTATATCAATGTCCAGTTATGGTTGATATTAAAGCCTAGGAAAACAAGAAGAGACTTTGAAGAATTATCACATTTTACTACTAATTTAAGATTTCCGACAACTTTTATGAAATCTTCATGTTCAACGTTTGGTTAAAGAACACCTTTATTCTACGCAGTAGGATAACATATGTTGAATTGTTAACTCTCCGATTTGAGTTCCACAACAAAGCTGAGTTTCAGCTGTGAGAGTTTAACTTATGTTATAACTTAAAATCAGTTCTTGATAGTCTAACTTATGTTATAACTTAAAATCAGATGAAATATGCAAGACTCCATCCATGGTTCTCTCCCCAAAATTTCAGCCTCTCAATTGGCAGTTTCAGATTAAGATTGCTCGACAAGGGAACCTGGTCTTTCCTCTAATCATCCCACTCTGTTGAAGTCTTATTCTATGTGCCCTTTGGCACATTGTGGTGGTAAATCAATAACCAGCAATCCAGCATCCACCAGCGATCAACCTTGGGAACGACAACCTTTTTTGCTTATCAGCCAGACTCTCCTACAGTTGATTGAGATTCCTATCTTTTGTAATTCTCTCAACAAACTTCCATTTAAGCGCTGGATGGAAAGAGCTGGTAGGGGGGAGCCATAGCTGCAAAAAAAATCAAAACCCACAAATACATTAAATCTCTCAATCAATTCAGACATATAGAAACATAAAAGCAAGGAAAACTGTCCAGAGCCTCCAACACCTTACCTAGGTCATCCAGAGATAGATTGTTGTGACAAGCTTCTCATGCACTTGCTCATTGATCTCAGGACATCTGGTCGTTCAGGATAATGATTAAGGTTTAGTGGTGCTACAGTGTGCTAGAGCTGCCTAGACCTCTTCCTCGTAGTCTGAGATGAGGAAACATGGGATGTTGCGAAGGGAGCTTCGCGAGCTGTCGCCGAGGGAGCAGTTTTGCTGGTTGTCGCAGAGGTAGGAGTCTACCAGGAGCTTTGCAGGTTATCTTGGCATGTGCCAGCAATCTTCATAGATGCTATTCTTGGTGCTTCACTGGAACAGCTGTGCAGAGAAAGTAACGATGGAGAAAGCAACTCCTAAAAATTTGAATTCACCTTTCAAGACTCTCTAAGCTTCTCTACCAATCTCAGACTGAAACAAAAGCACACACTCATATGTTTCCATTCAACTCATATACTCCACTCGTTCAGTGGGGATGGTCATGTAAAAGAATTTGTATTACTGAGTAGTTATCTGTGATAAATAGGGCTACTAATTTAGATCTCCAATTGAAATCTACTCCGTAATATTCATCACTCATCTGTGTCTCACCGTTGGTTGGCACGATGATGACGAGTGTAACTCGAGGAGCTCTAATTTTTCATGCATTCTCTGATAATTATGAGCTTTTTTTTGTTTGTTAATGTAAACAGGAAGAAGTGAAAAGGTCGTTGATGGTTTGTCAAGACAAATTTGTAGATGCAAAACAGCAGGAGGGGGATGCTATGAAGGCCTTGGAATCCTGTGTAGACGCATCTATGCAAGGCTTCTCAAAGACATTACCTCTCTTTGTCAAAGGTTTGGAGACTTCTCTTGGCAATTGCTGAATAGTACTACTCCCTTTAATTTGTCCTACTAAGTTTAGGACAGTAGAGATGGAGGGTCCAACAAATTTCTGAAAGTGAAAATTGTAACAGTAGATATTGAATCTGTGAAGTATTGATAAAGTACGGGGATACCACGCAAATGTACTTGTCCCGTCCCAAAATAAGGTTCCGAGTTGTAATCAACACTATTATTAGGATAGTTGAAATTGTGTGGTTGAGATTCATACAAATGAGAGAATGAATGTGAATCACACAATTCTTTTGTTAAAAAAATGGAGCCTTATTTTTGGGCAAACAAAAAAAACTTGAAAATTTCATAAGGCAATAGATATGGACATATGGTACTTTCTCAGGGTGTTTTCGGAAGGTTTTTGGATTGATAATTCACCTAAATAATACTAAAGCATAGTGACTTTAGTGTCATGTATTTTTATTTTCTAATGTAGCATCATTGTTCAATGTCCACTGATCATTGTTCAAGTAAATGTCTAACGCTGCTGGACATTGTTCAAACTAAATGTCCACCTATCACTCGGCATTGTTGTAGGCACTAGACATTATTCAAAACTATTTAGGGAAAAAAGTTTAAGTATTTGTTGGGAAAGGACATGTTTTAGTACTATTTAGTGCAAATTTTACTTTTAGATTTGCTCAAGTTTTTAGAAAGTACTTGTAATTATTTCAAGATTAGAATTTGAAAACATTTTAGAATTGCTTCTTGCTTCCTCCATTCATATTTAACTGGTTCACTTTTTGAACTTAAAGTTTGACCAATAATATCTTTTAACATATATTAGCAAAAGTATTCAAAATAATTTAAAGTATTTTTTGATACTAATAATTTGCTATAATTTTTATATTTTAATTCGTTGTGTATTTTTATTTAAAATTAGTCAAACGTTAAACACGTTAATGGAAACAGACTGTTTAATAGGGATGGAGGAAGTAGCTTGTATTCCACCAAAAGATGAGAATTAGACACTATAATATTCCGAATTGCTTCTGATGGTGTAAATTAACCATATTTTGAGATGAATAAATTTAGTAAAATGAAATTGTACTCTCTTCGTCTTGAAAAACTTTTCTACATTTTGGGTTTTTGACTTTTTTTTGTCAACTTTTTATACACTTAAACCATTAATACATACATAGTATAATTGTATATTAACAAAGGTGGTAAAAACTTATATACTCCGTATCAAAATTATATCTCAAAATGAACTCAATTGTAATAAATTACATTATACTTGTCGATTGATGATGTCACAACTCAAAATATAATTGTATACTAACAAATGTGGTAAAACTTTAACTTCGGTATATATTAAAATTACATTGTAAAATGATCTCAATTATTTTAAATTTATATTATAACTGCTATCGGCCGTTACACTAAGCTAATTTTTCATAATTTTGTCCTTCATTTCCAAGGCCACCATCTCATCTCCATCTTTGAAAGATTGTCGATCGGCGTCGTCGTCACTTTAATTTTATAAATTCATCGATTTGTAATCCTTGACGCTCGACCGATAACTTTATGTTCTCCCTCTTCGCAACTTCTGCAATAGCGTGTTGCTTAAGTCAGAGCTTCTCCGACCGGTTGGGAGGGTTGAAATAATTGGGACGGTTGTGAGTGCATTTGCCATTTCGTCAAGCTAGTGTGAGTAAAACTATCGTATGTGTAGAATCTATAAACTATCTGTGATTTAAATTGTGGATGGTTCGATTGGTTTGAGCTTTTTATGATGGTAAAATAGGAAAATAAGTAGTGAAAAAAATAAAATAGAGTAAAATGAAGAAAAAAATTGAATTGGATGATAGTTTGAAGTAGAAGACTAAGAAAATAAAGCTTTTTAAAGCAAAACCTAACGATCTATTTTATAAATAAAATGAATAAAAAAGAAAAAATGAAAAAAGAGTCATTAAAGTAGTTCGAGATGCACGAGGCACCCATGCGTGTTAGGTTGAACGGTTCAGGTCTTAGCTAGCTAAGATCGGAGAAGCGAAGCTGGCAAGAGGTGTCGTCATGAACATCGCCACTCCATCGGGATTCGGGGTACAGATGAACAGTATGCCGTACGCGCTAATCAATTTTCTTTTTTATCTTTCTTCTTCTTCTTCTTCCTTTTTTCCAGGTTGGTTTCTTCTCTTTCTAGATATGAAAGTTTTCTCATTTTTCCTTTTTTATTAGCTTGTTTAGTTTTAATTTTTTCTTTATTTTTAAGTTTCTAATTTCAATTTTGTTCTTCAATATTTAAATTTAATTTAATTAAAAATGAACTAAAATATTATATAAAAGTATTGTTTGAAAATAAAAACTTAAAAAATAATGGGAATGGAATGAGGATCCCGATCGAGATTTGCTGCTGCGTGGCCCCCGCCGAACTGAAGCCCCACACCCACCAACTAAGCGTTCGCATGAGTTGTGCACGAGAATATACTTCCAGTAAATATTTATTTTGAATAAACAAGACATTAATTTTGAATCAAAAGATATTCATTTTCATTGTAATGTTTATTCTGAAGCGTGGTCAACATTTTCTTTAATTACGGAGTAAAACTTTGAAAAATGCTAGGAGTACACTAAATGTATACCCCATTTGTTCCTCACCTCCTCTTTGTCTACATAAAAATGCAAGAAATTCAAAAAAAAAAAATAAATAAAAATAAAATAAAAATGGACAGTGAAGAAGGGGTGGTGTACATTTAAAGTACACCTTTGGTGTACCCTAACATTGCTCTAAAACTTTACAACACTTTCCTTTCCACCTGAGTATCATACTCCGTAAATGATAAAACAGTCGGTTGACAATAGACGCAGAGATCCAACAGAGTTCCAAACAGGCCTACGCAGCTTCTCTTTGCAATCCTACTCCCAGAGCTCCGCCTTCCCCTACCTACCTCTCTCTCTTTCGATCGTTTCTCTGGACGTTGCTGAGGCCACTTTCCTTGAGATCGCATCACTAATCTCTGCCATTCCATCTCATCTCCCGCATCATAGCCATTATCATCGAGTCAAATGCCAGACAGCTGAGCCCTGTTCTAATTCTGCAGATCTAATCTGGATTCATGGCATCACCTGGTGAGAATTGTGTCACTGCTGGTGTCTTTTCAATTTCCTTGTATAAAATTCAGGGCCTGTTTTTGGGTATTTTGGCAACATTTCCTATTTTAGTAGGGATACGATGTATCCACGGGTATCGATATTTTCATCATCGGGTTTAGCAATCATAGAGAATTACTAAGAATTTGTGGGTCTAAACGGGAGAAGCAATGTGGTCTTTGGAGTTGATTCTAGGTAAAGGGGAATGAATGATCAGATTGCTTCAGTATGACTCATTGGACTCTAAAATATGGTTCTTTGATCTTTCCCTTTCTCACACCTTGAAAGTGATTATGTGGGAGTAGTTTGCTGTTAAATTACCTGGTTAGCTTAATGTCAGGAGATGCTGAATGTAATTCCTTCCCCACCCTTTTTTTCTTGGCACAGCAGGTCATGCACGCGAAACATCAGTAGTTGTTGTCACACTAGAATCTAGCGAGGTCTATATCATCGTCAGTTTGCATTCAAGGACTGACACACAGGTTATCTATGTTGATCCCACAACTGGAGCTTTGCGATTTAATGCTAAGTTTGGGTATGATGAATTTCGTTCTCAAGACGAAGCTTTGAATTTCATTACAAGTGGGTCGAAGTGGCTGTGCAAGAGTGTAACTTATGCCAGGGCGGTATTGGGCTATGCAACGCTTGGAAACTTTGGTTTGTTACTTGTTGCAACAAAAGTGTCGGCTACCATTCCACATTTGCCTGGTGGAGGGTGTGTATATACTGTGATAGAGAGTCAATGGATCAAAGTATCACTCCAAAACCCTCAACCAGTCGGAAAAGGTGAATTAAAGAACGTTCAAGAGTTAACTGACCTTGACATTGATGGAAAGCACTACTTTTGTGAAACTAGGGACATCACCCGTCCTTATCCTAGCCATATGACTTTTCAGACTCCCGATGACGAGTTTGTTTGGAATAAATGGTTTTCAGTTCCATTCAAAAAGATTGGGCTCCCTCACCATTGCGTCATTCTTCTGCAGGTTTAGAATATTTTTTCTTGCTTATATTTTAGTTTTTGGATTATTTATAACAGGAACTTTATTGTTTCATACTTTAGTCTGCATATGATGAAAAACTGTTCTCAGGAAACTATAACATGTTAAGACCACCCCAAGGCCCTCCAACATGTACTTATCTGTTATTTTTGTTTGTAAATTATAGAGTCACTGTACTCTTCATGTTTCATATCTTATGCTTTGAGCATCTCTATGGAGCAATGCATACCATGTCACTATACATTTTCAGTACATGTAACCTAACACATTCACCCTGTACTGAAACCATATTCAATGCTTATATTTTCCTGGCATATATTCATTCTCATTGGAGTGAGGCCAATTCATAGGGGTTTGCAGATTGTCGGGGTTTTGGAAGCTTAGGGCAACAAGAAGGGGTTGTTGCTCTCATTGCTCGTCGTAGTAGGCTGCATCCTGGCACTCGGTATCTAGCAAGGGGGTTGAATTCTTGCTATAGTACAGGTAGCATAAAATATTGCTCTCTCTATTGTTGTTAATAATTTTGTTTATTTTTCATAATATTTTTGTGTGTTTAAACAAAGTTCATTGATCATGCAGGTTTATGTTTGACATAATTTTGTATCTTGTATGTATATAATAGCTTTTGATAAAGATGATGGTTTTGGAATGTCATCTCATTATTCCAAAAATCCTATGTAATGTTGTATGTGACATGTAGATAGTTCACAATAAATGAATATTGGAAGATTGATGTGTAGCCAGTGGCACTAGTTAGCCACCCCACACGCTTGATAGTGGAAACAAAGTAATGTGGATTATTACTATAATAGACCTTATATATGATGTCATTGAGACATTGAGTACAAGAGGGCAGTACACAGCTTAGATATGAGTAATTTGAGTTTACAGTGCGATGTGGAAGTGGTGAGACCTAAAAGTGTGTGGGATAGAATTGTGAAAGTAAGGTGATGTTACTCCCTCCGTCCTATAATGATCTTCCCAGAGCACTATTCCAACTTCACGGGAATTTATATTTATTTGTGTTTTTTCATGGCCTATATGATAAAATAAAATATTCTTGTCACCACTTGTTTTGTTGAACTTTTGGTGTAGTTTTTAAATATGTATGTTTTATTTTTTATTTCTATACCAATATTTAAATAAAATAGATTGAAAAAATTTGGGATTTTTCTTCGTTTTGCGAACCGGGAAGATCATTATAGGACGGAGGGAGTATATTAGTAATGGAATTCCACCGGGGCACTAGGCTATCAGGCTATGCTTACAGACCGTAGCTAAATAGTACTCAATGAGAATATATTACTAGAGCTGTACTACATTGCAGTCTATTTTGTGTGTCACTCCTCCTACCAGGGAAGGGGTATTTATATGCTACACATTCAATTCTAAAGTTCAGGGACCACGACCCCTTTCTGTAATGCCAATGATTACTATGCTATATTTGAGCATGATTACTATGCTATATTTGAGCATGATCGTGACCCATCTATGCTAACCCACATGTGTGTTTTGTATGATGGCCTTGGACCCGCTAGAGTAATCTTAATGGGTGCTGATCATGGGTTTGGTTTGCTGATAGATATATTACGCTTATTCTGCGTGGGGCTGATTACCAATATACCCATCAACTGGTCTCTACGAAACAAACTTAGAGGGAATATCTCATAGCATTTATGAGTTCTTTGGGAATTGGGAAGACAACACAGAATGAAATATCATGCACTCAAATTAGTCAAATGGGTAAATCTTTTCCATCCACACAACCGAAGAATATAAATACTTTTAAGAAGGTACAACATGAACACATCCCTTGGGATGAAGACTATTAGAATTTAGGTTTATGTGTTTGGCCACTCAATGAGATCATAATGCACTTGGACCAAGCCACTTAAAAGATCAAAGTATCAAACCTAATCGATTAAGGGACTGTTGAGTATAGCTTATCCAAACTGAGCCGAATGGTACTAAATTGAACCTATATGAACTGAATTGAACCTATAGGTATTGAATTGAACTTAACTTATAGGCACTGAACGGAGTAAATCTTATAAGTATTGAAATACTGTATAGTAATGGTAATGATAACAATAAGAGTAACAATGCCGAGTAAAATAAAATTACAATCACTAACCCTTGGAATATATTGGATTTTCATATCTGGTGTGAGATCATTCACCCGAAGGTCTCCGTTGATCATTGCTTGCCAAGTCCTCTTAGGTCTACCTCTTCCTCTAGTCACATGCCTATTCACCATTCGACAACCCTTCTCACACAATGATCTATTGGTCTTCTCGCCACATGTCCAAACCACCGAAGACACTTTTCAACCATCTTTTCTACAATAGATGCCACTCCAACATTAGCTCTCATATCTTCTTTACTTATTCTATCAATAAGCGTATGACCGCTCATCCAACAAAGCATATTCATTTTCACCACACTAATCAGTATGGTAAAATTTTCCCTTTAGAAACTGTGTGTGAAGTGTTCATAATCCCAAACAATGTGCATACGGTTATTAAAAAACGTATAACTCACATTTTCAATTTAAGATAATGTGAACGGATATTAACATGATAGATTGATAGACGATGCAAGTATCAAGTTGTAGCAAATAGGAGTTAATTTAAAAGGGAACAACACATTTAAGTAAATTTCTTGCATCAGGCATACAACCTTGTGCATTAGTGTTTGATAAAAAAAACATACAATTCAAATTTGCAAGTTTAGATGAAGAGAGCAGATTATAACATGATAGACAATGGAAATATCTCATATCAAGTGTGTACCAAATATGAGATAATGTTAAGTGCGCAACACAATACGTAAATTTGTTGCATCAAGTGTAAAATATTGCCTTGGGCTTTGCCTTGCGGGAGTAGTGTTAACTAAATTAAAACCATTAGTTGCCATCGTTAATTTCATGTCAATTGCCACCTATCACTGGATTCACTGCAGAGCTGAGATTAAGGTAGTTGTCGTATTTGAGATTAAGGTGGTGGTGATGATGATGAATATAATAGCCTTGTATTCCAGATAAAATCATATTATCACTATTAGTGAACATGAAAATATGAATGAGAGCATCTAACCAATAAAGGGGACCATTTCTCCGTTTATCTTCCTAAATAAAGTAAATTTTCTTAGCTGTTTCCTGCATACTCTGGCCTCTGCCCATTAATACTACTTTCTAAGATTGCAATGGTTTAGGATGTAAGACCATCCCTGAAAATTACATGGCTGCGTAGATCAGTAAGCTAGTGAAAAGAAAAGCCATACCAAAAAGTGAAGACTTGAGAAAAGCAAGTTGATTTTCTTGATTTCTTCATTTGGAGAAGCCTGCATCATCTTGCTGCAGGAAATAATTTTCTAGTCATTTTAGTTACAGCATTGTATTGTTAGCCCCTTAGCCTTTCTTCTTCAGTCTTTCTTTGACAAAAAAGGTTATTTTTATAGTATTTGTTGCTTCGTTGCATCTGTTTCTCAATTATCCAGAGATGAAGGGTTGATACATTACTCACTTTCTAACAGACTCCTCCACACCGTGTTGCTAATTTATGCAGCTTTAGCCTGAAGTTCATGGTTGGGTAGAGATTGTTTGTAATTTATGTAATTTGCTAAGCCACTGTGCATAACTTTACCTATTACCTACACTCTTCAGGGAATGAAGTCGAGTGTGAGCAGCTTGTATGGATTCCCAGAAAACCTAGCCAGACTGTCCCTTTTAATACTTATGTTTGGAGACGAGGAACTATTCCTATTTGGTGGGGGGCAGAGTTGAAGACGATGACTGCTACTGAAGCAGAAATATTTGTTTCTGATCATGACCCTTACAATGGAAGTGCTCAGTACTATCAGCGGTTATCTAAAAGATATGATGCACGAAACCTGTATGTTTCTGCGAATCAGAAAAAAATTGCTTGGGTTCCAATTGTGTGCGTCAACTTGCTTAGAAATGGAGAAGGGAAGGCAGAGTCAATTTTAGTCCATCATTTTGAAGAATCCATGAACTATATCAGATCGACAGGCAAACTTCCTCACACTCGAGTGCATTTGATAAATTATGATTGGCATGCCAGCGTAAAATTAAAATCAGAGCAGCAAACAATTGAAGGACTTTGGTACCTATTAAAAGCACCTACAGTTTCTGTAGGAATTACCCAAGGAGATTATCTCCCTTCTCGCCAACGAATTGAAGATTGTAAAGGAGAAATCAGGTGTAATAATGACTTTGAGGGTGCTTTCTGCTTAAGATCCCATCAGAATGGAATTATACGTTTCAATTGTGCCGATTCATTGGATAGAACCAATGCTGCTAGTTTCTTTGGTGCACTCCAGGTTTTTGTAGAACAATGCAGACGATTAGGTATATCACTGGATAGTGATTTGGGCTATGGTTATCAATCATTTAACAACCATGGTGGATATACCGCCCCTTTACCACCTGGCTGGGAGAAAAAAACAGATGCTGGCACTGGGAAAACATATTTTATTGATCACAATACAAGGACAACAACTTGGAATCATCCTTGCCCGGACAAACCATGGAAAAGATTTGACATGACATTTGAGGAGTTTAAAAGATCAACAATTTTAGCTCCTGTATCACTATTATCAGAATTGTTTCTGGTTGCTGGAGATATTCATGCAACTCTATATACTGGCTCAAAAGCTATGCATAGTCAAATTCTTAGCATATTTAATGAGGATGCAGGCAAGTTCAAACAGTTTTCTGCTGCACAGAATGTGAAAATCACCCTACAGAGAAGATTAAAAAATGCACTTTTCGATAGCTCTCGTCAGAAACAACTAGAGATTTTTCTTGGCCTGCGTCTTTTCAAGCATTTTCCTTCAAGTGTGTTCCAACCCTTACATGTATGTTATTATCTAGTTAACTTGACCTTTTAGGCTGGTCTTTTCTTATTTTTTGTGTGACTGCACTCATGTTTTAATTTTGTTGTACTTCAATTACTACTTTGATCCGTAGAGAGGAGATCAAGGATCCAAATGCACACACATATTGAACCATTTTCTTAGTTTTCCTTGAACCTTTTCTCAAAAGTCCTTTTTTACACTTTGACTGCATGCATAGATTGGTTTTAAAGTTGGGGGCTACCAGTGCTATTTGGGGAAAGACGCAAGTATGCCCCAAAATATTTTCCCTCAGGCTCATATTGACCTTAAAGTTTCTATTTGGTTAAATATATTGATGTTTTACCTCAAGTATTGATTTCCTTTGAATTTCCTAGGCACATTTAACGTTTAAAATTAAATTTTATTGGCGTCTCTTCTTTTGATGGTCGTTATTACAAGTGGCAATGTGATTACTAGGAGCTTAATCGAAGACCAAAACATATGAACCAACTTGGAGCAGTCAGTCCTTAGTTGCTCTTTACAATATTTCAAAGTGCAGTGCCTTTTTTCATTATAAGTCATTTTTGCGCATCCCTTAAATACACTTCACCGATGTTTTTTGGCGTGAAGTTAAGATATTGGAGTTCGTGTGGTTGATATTTATTTAGAAATCAAAGAAAAATATGAACCTCACATTCCTTTCCTTAAAAGGAAAGATGAAGTTTATTTTGGACAACCATAAAAGGAGAAATGAAGTTTTCAAGGGATATATGGAGTATCAAATTAGTCTTCCTTCTGTGTTTTACGCATTGGGCCAGCTACTTAGCATCAGCATACATTGAAGGCTAATTATTTTTTTGTTAGATCAATAATTCAGTAAGTGCCTATTAGTTATCCTATTAGCTTTGACATTCAGTGATATTACTTTAGAACTAGGAATCCTATTAGTTTTGGGGTTCAGTGTGCATTTTATTCTATTCTCACTTTATGTGAGTAGGCTCTTAACTCAGATACAGGCAATACTTTCGGCTGAAAAGCTCAGGGAGTTTTGGGATCTCAAGCAAACCCAGAGAGCTGGGGTTTAGCAAAAAATCCAATTCTCTATGCATTCTTAGCATGTGATGTTCTCTTAAAAGTAACCCATAGCAGTGTGGTCTTTCACCTGAAACCAAATGCATATAAGATTTGTGTTACAAATGACAAAATTGTTTAAATGCATTACTTTTTTCAACATTTCTGGCACATAAATATCAAATTAATTATCTTTTTATACTCTTTGCATTTTTATTTTAGCCTTTAAGGGTCAATGTGCACCTGAGGGAAAATTTTAGTGGCCAATCTGCAGCAGGAATACACATCGTTACGGGGCACTTTTGACACCTGAAATATCTTAAAGGGTCAATATACATCAGAGGGTAAACATTAGGGGCATATTTGTATCCCTTCCCGCTGTCGTTTCTTCTGTTTTTGAAGAGATGACAACATTTTGTTAGGAATCCTCTTGGTCCTCGCTGCTTTTGGATTATCTTATAATTACCATCTCCGTGTCAGGTTCCTTCCCGGCCTTCTGGATGCTTTCTAAAGCCAATTGCTAACCTATTCCCAAATGTTGATGGTGGAAACAATCTTCTGAGCTTCAAGAGGAAAAGCCTCACATGGGTATGTAATATTTACTCTTTTTATCATGCTTAGATTACTATTCCAGTGTACTTTTTTGTGGTAAAATGGCACTTGATGAATGTATACCAAATTACAGGTTTGTACAAAGGCTGCAGATGTGGTTGAACTTTTAATCTTTCTCAGTGAACCTTGTCATGTTTGTCAGCTTCTTCTTACTGTTGTCCATGGAACTGATGATTCGACCTTTCCAGCTACTGTTGATGTAAGGACAGGGCGTTACCTAGATGGACTTAAAATCGTTCTTGAGGTGTGCTTTGTCTTTTAATTATTATTATTATTATTATTATTATTATTATTATTGTATAATTCCAATTTGATGTTTAGCTATTGATTATGACGTTCCTATAGTAGACAAACATCACCGGGCATTGGATCTCTGTCTACTTTGACATTCTCTCCATCCCCCAAAAAGAGCATGTTCCAAAGAATTTTTTCCGAAAAAGAGTCATGCTTCAAACATCTCTCTTTCCCGAAATGAGTCATATGTTTCAAACAATTTTGTGTCCCAGAAGGCAGAAAGTCTTGTTTGACCAAATGAAACTAATTCTTCTTGTGAGTTGCCAACAAAGAATGAGACATGTTGCATATGATACATTTAGTTACAACAACAAATAATAATTAAAAGTAGGATTGATGATTTATGTCCGTAATACCCTACAAAAGTTTAGAAGTTCTATCTTGGCCAAACATGACTTATTTTTATTATTTTGAGATGGAGATAGTATTGTTCAAGAAGATTATACTCTTTGTCTTTGTAATTATGTTGTCATTTTACTTAATCGGTATTTATTTAATCTTGAAGTTTTAAACATGGTTTCCTGCTAATGCTAAATTGCTCACTAGTATAGGAAATAGTATTGAATAATTTGGGAATTCTATCCCACAACCATATGTACCGGAAATCCCCTAAAACATTGTGAGCCATTAGTTTCATGTTAGCTAGCATTTTAGTTTTCTTTCGTGTGCAAATGATTGTTTACTCAGTACACAACTTTCATTTAGTGAGCAATTCATTTCTCCTTAGTGAGCATACAAGTCTCTGGCGAAGAATGATTATACGGTATTCATGTTTATAATAATCATTAGTAATTGGGGTTAGAAATGCTTCTAAAACTGAAATAAATGAATTACAATGTCATGGACTTAAATTTTCTCCAAATCCAAGGTTATGTGAAGGAAGAATACTTACTAACTAGTTGCTTTTTTTTAATACTAAGTTTGTTCTAAACTAAGATGCACGGACACGATGAACCAATAGGGCACAGCACGGTGGGATTCTAAAGAATTAGGGGACATTGGCATTCCTGGGCATGGTATGGTCAATTAAAGATAAAGAGCTAACAACAAAGTTCAAAACTTAAACACATTTTAAGCTTAGTATTTACTTCATGTATAATTACTACAACAGGGCATGATTGAGAGAGAGAGAAGCCTGAGTGCGGCATACATTGACAAAGAAACACAAACCACCCTTGTTTAGGATCTTCATGTGCTTGATGAAGATAACGGTGCAGCTGTTGATGATGTATTGTTAGTTTCCAGTGGGGGGTTTGAATGTTTAAAGGTCCAAGATGTTGATCACATCGAGATGTGATTGATAAACAGCTAACCTTGCTAGATATGCTTGAGGCTGAAATGGAAGAAAAAGTAATACAAGATGTTATTCTCCAAAAGGCTTTGCTGACTCCTGTCGTAATGTTAGATGCTGGCATCGATGTTAAATCAATGGTTGAGGATAAGAGGGGGGGAAAGACAGGAAAAGGGTCCGACAATATTTAAAAGAGTTATAGCAAGACATGAATAATTGAAATCAATCCAATCAAGTACCTTGGATGGCTTGTGGAGATTTCAACACTTTCCTTTCGGTGAAAGGCAAAAAGGGAGGCAATCCACTTATTGCTCTTCTGCCAAAGATATTTCAAGATTCAGGGAGGTGTTATGGATTTTAATCTTGGTGGCTCCCTTTGTGAAATGGATTTTGCACTTGGAATACTAGATACCTTTGATACTGTGCTAATTAATGTGGAGAGGACTCAAATCTTTTCTAATTTTACTCCTGCATTGTTAAACAATGATACCTTGGCATTTGAATCTTTAGTAATTATAAGTGTAAAGCCTGACCTGAAGCTGCCTAAATCCAGCCCTTGCCCACTTCTAATTTAGAGATATTAGCGTGTTAATGCTGAAATAAATTATTCCTTCTCTCTATGCAAATTGTTAAGAAGATTCTGAACCCATATTGATATTGTTTGCAGGGAGCCTCCATACCAAGGTGTGCGAATGGAACAAATATTTTAATACCCATATCAGGACCAATAAGCAATGAGGATATGGCTATCACAGGAGCTGGTTCACGGTTACATGCTCAAGATAATTCTAACCCACCATTACTATACGACTTTGAAGAAGTGGAGGGAGAACTGGATTTTCTTAACCGTGTTGTTGCACTTACATTTTACCCAGCAATGGATGTAAAAGGCCCAATTACTCTTGGTGAGGTACTTAAAAATAAAAGGCTTTTATGTTATTATGTTGATATTTTACTTCAAACAAAATCCATTTGTACCTTCACTTAAAACATAATTGCAACAGTCTGAAATTATTTTTGTTTGCCCTCGGAAGTAGCATTATGTGTGTGTCTGTGCGGGAGGAAGGGGGGGGGGGTAACGTAGAATCAAGATCACTCGTCTACCCCTTGGAGTAGAGGGGTTGTTTCGAAGTGGATTTTGAGAAATATTGAAAAGTAGTGTATATAGTTCAAGGTACGAAACAAAAAGCTAAAGCAAAAAACAGAATCGCTTGCCGTGAAGAAGCAGTACATAAAAATTAAAAACCAACCAAGCTGACAAGGGAGCAAGGAACAAAGTATTCAATGGACAAGGTAATGTCTATCTAACAACACCAAACACCAGAGGGCCAAGAAGGCCCGACCATCAATAACGCTCGCTCACAACCCATACACAAAATCCACAACCCTATTATAGTGTCTTCAGAAACATCTATTAGATGTTTTGTTCTCATATATGGTTTAGGCTGTAATGACCAGTCTCAGCTGCTAATCCCACGTAATCTGTGATCAGCCTCTCCTCATCCCATCAAGGCATGTGCTCCCAATGCCACTCGCCACTACTCAAGCTTCACGTTCTCCCCCTCCCTATACTAAGCTACCAATTCAATATTGTTCGCATATAACATCCACCACAGGATGCTCGGCTGAATCCATCTTGAGATCACATCCAACAATACAGGTTTTAAATGCATAACATATCTAGTATCTCCATCATTTACATATATGCATCCCTCTAACGTCCAAATTACTTAATAACTACACGTGGAACATCATCTTAAGCCCTCTTTAAGTCTATAAACACCTGTGCATCAGTGCATGTCTGTATTTGGCTATCTATACCTCATTGAGATTCTAAATTGTTCCAATTGTAGCCCTTACTAGGGAAAAGTTCTAGAGCCCTATCCCTCAATTTTACCATGGTTTTAGAGCCCCTCTTTTTGTAAATGTTGTATTAAAGCAATATTACTGAAAATATTGTTACTATCACCAAAAATACTATTTTGGCTGTCATTTCTCTATATCTTTCCGGCTTGATTGACTCATTGATGCCACATCTTGGCATGAACTAGGTTGTGATGTTGAGTGTGACTGCTTCTTTTGCACTAGATAACAAATTTCTGTGTTTTTCCATCTAATTTCTTCTCTCAGGTCTCACCAAACGTCAAGGCACCTCCATCCGTTTCTTGCTTATATATCCTCTCCGGTGTTCCATTTGCCTCTAATACATCAGAATGGATTTTGCCGATTTTCTATCTTTCAGGGCCCGCCGCTTGAAATCTGATTTTGATCATGCCACCATTACTCTCACGCTTAGTTCCCACCTTCGATGTCTTACATAAAATTGCCACTCCCCCCCCCCCCACCCTTAATATAATCAATAAATTTCAACTTCATCTGGTTGTCACATATTAGCTGGTGCCTAACCGGTGGTCTGTTGAGCAGTTTCTATTTGCCACTCATCAAGCCTTCAATCCTTCAATTGCTACATAAGATACAACAATAACATGCCCAGTATAGTTCCACGCAGTGGGGTCTGGGGAGGGTAAGATGATTAAGTTAATTATTCTGTCCCAATTTATCTGTAATACACTTGTACTTTGCTTTCTAGTTTATTTGAAAATATTATACATCCCATAATTAAAATATACCATCTTTATTTAGTTTGCTTTCTTAAGTTAGTTCCACTTAAAAGTTTTAAACATTTGAAACTGTTTTGTTATTTATGTCATCTGTCATTCCGTCCTTTATTGCACTTACCTTTATTTAGTTGATAATAATTAATATGCATAGGAATTCATCATTTAAAAAGCATGCACTTTTGAAAGACCTCGCGGATAATGCTATTTTATTACTGCTTTATAATTGGCTAAGCATAAATCACTTAAAATACTGTTTCGCTCCTTTGGTTGAATTGAATATGTATCATATCAGATGTAGTTTATACTCTTTATAAACTGATCCCATATTTTGAAAAAAAAACACATTGCAGATTGAGTTACTTGGAGTACTTCTTCCATGGAGATTTATATTTAATGGTGAAGGCCCTGGTCTAAGGCTCTATGAGGACATCAATCGTCACCACCTGGAAGCTAACCCATTTATGTCTGGATTTGAGACGAATCCTTTTGCTTCCAACTTATCCAATGATGATGTCTTGCCAACTACATTAGCAGATACATCTAGCAACTCTTGGGTTGACCTTTTGACTGGAGAGATCAGAACTGCAGATTCTGTCACTGAGATAGCAGGTGGAACTGTTGCACACAAAGAGGGGGATTTACTGGACTTCTTGGATGATTCTATAGTCCAACAACATCATGGGGTGAATGATGCAACCAAGGCCATTTCTTTAGAAGGGGCTTCAGATTATTGCACTCGCAAGTATATAGATTGTTTGAAACATATAGCCGGTCCCAATTTGGTATGACACCACTTTGCTTCTTGTTCAGCTTTTTGCCAATGAATATATTTGCATTATAATTTGTTCTATTTTCTAGGCCTTTTTTATTGTTTGGCGAGAGAATCCTTAACTGTTTGATGTGGGAATCTTGGGTTGAAAATAACTGTTTAGATTTATATTGTAAAAGAGAACTGACATTCAGATTTTAAATTTTAACCTCAGCTTTATCAGAGAGTGCACCTTTTTTATGTATAAAGTGCCAGATTAATGCCTTTTCTATGGTCTAGTTATTTTCAGTTTTACAATGTGGGTTAACTGATATACTCCGTATATTTTATATTCCATCCATGTTGCATTCTTCTTTGATGCATGAATGATACAAGGATGCATTTTTTACTCTATATATTTATTTTAACCATAGAAGGCTATGTTTTAGTCTTGAGCAAATTAAAAAGAAGTTTCTTCAGAGGATGGATACAATAAGATGATTACTGGATGTTATATATGTCGAGGTGCATGCGTTGATAGCTCTATAATACTTGAGGAGATATTTTCTTAGAAGTTCAATCTGTTCAAAAATGAGGTGGATTAGCCAACATGTGGCATGAGACTCTATATATAATAAATACTCCGTATAAGGGTTAGTGCGTTACAAAGGAATGTGAATGGACTAAAGTATAAGACCCATAGCAATATTATTTACATAAACTCATATCTACTAATATCCCCCCTCAGTTTTGGAGGGGGTAAATAACAGAGAAACCATTGAATCTCAGCAGATCTGATTTTTTTTCTCACACCTCCTCCGTGGAAGAGCAAGACACATTAGGCTTCTTCTTGGCACGCCAAGGGACCTAGGTCTTACCAAGAAATATAGCAAATCCAGTAGTAGGCAACAGCTATCTCAACGTTCAGCCCAATCCCCATCACAAAAGCAGCCATGAGATCCATCTTGGAGGCGTTGCGGAAGAATAAGCCGTGAGTAGCAGTGTCTAGAAAGTACCTAAAAATTCTCTTGACATCATGTAAGTGTTTATTAGGATGAGCATGCATGAATTTAGAAATTACATTTATGACATAACCAAGTAAGATACTGCAGACCACTAACCATACTCCAGTACTCGGAGGCATGGAAAAGTAGCTCCCCTACTGTTAGGGATAAGGAGGTCCGAGTGATGCAGGGTGTACGGACATGAGTGAGATCATGAAAATGGAATTTGGCAAGAACACCAGTGGCATATTTCTATTTCTGAGAGAGGAAAAGACCAGAAGAGGTGTGAAGAATCTGAACACAAATAAAGTAGTGTACATCACTGGGATCTTTTATGGCAAAGTGAACAGGAAGTTGTCGAGTAAGTTTCATAACGAGTGAAGGATTGTTGTCAGTAAGTATCATGTGATCTACATATAACAAAATAACAGTATTGGTGTCAAGATGGCAATAATCAAACATGAAGGAATCATTCTTGCTACAGACAAACCCGTGAGTGAAGAAAATAGTTGAAGCATTGAAAGCAGGCCCATGGAGCCTGTTTCAGACCATACATAGAGTTCTTGAGGCGGCACACACGAGGAGGATAAGCAGGAAGAACAGATTCGGGGGGCTGTTTCATGAAAACCTCTTCATCAAGGAAGTCATACTGAAAAGCATTTTTTTTATGTCCAACTACGTACAACTCATTTACATGAAACAACTAAGGAAAGAACATGTACCATAGATGGCTTAATGATAGGGCTGGAAGTTTCATGATAGCAAATACCAGCTTGCTGATGATTGTCAAGAGCTACAAGATGGGCTTTGTGCCATTAATGGAACCACCTGTAATAAACTTGGTTTTATAAATCCACTTACAACCAACCACATGCATAGTAGTGCAGGGGGCTAAATCCCATGTATGATTTTTTTTAAAAATTCATGATATTCGTTAGCCATGGCCTCACGGCAATCATGTTTAACAGAATAAGTAAACCAAGTGGGATCATGACCTGAATGCAAATCAATTATTGATAAAAAAATGGTTTTGAAAACCCGATTCGGTGCGAGGCTGCGTTGGATGACAAGGCACCGGGGCAGCAGTCATCCCTGGGTAATGTTGTGTGTCATAGATCTCGTGAGAAGATAAAGGTGGGCTAGAAGAGGAAGAAGCAGTTGGTGAGGAAGGTAGGGACGCAGACATCATGATCATATAGATGATGTCAGGACTGTGGAAAGGGGAACCTGAGGCTCTGTTGACGGGAATGATCTGGGTTTGTGTTGGCAGGAAAGAGAATGGCTCGGACATGGGAATGAGGAGAGAGGTACGGGAGGTGGTGCAGTCAACATCTGTGGGTGGTTCGTGGTACTAGTATAAACAACAACCCAGTAGAATCCCACAAAAGCAGGGTCTGGGTCGTGTGTGTACGCAGACCTTACCCCTACTTAAAGTAGAGAGGCTGCTTCCAAGAGACCCCTAGCTCAAGCAGCACAGAGAGCAAATAGCACGACAAGAGGACGGAGTACACTAAGAGTGAGAAAAAAGCGACAAGGCATAAGGTACATAAATAACTGAAGTGGTTCGTGGTATTAGACTATTAGTTGCAATACAAATGTGAGGAGACAAACTGTAGGAAGGCTGCAGGAGTGCAATAACATAGGTTAGAGATCCCTTTTACTTGATACCCGAAGTAGAAGCTCCCTATGGCCTTGTCATGTATAGAAACATAAGAATCATCAAATAAAGTTGAGGATTGTAATTTTTTTACATAACTGCTTGATAGAGCAATTTAATAGGTTGTCTGACTTTTGTTTTGGGGCTGAAAGCCTGAAACAGACAGATCCAAAAATAATTTACAATAATCAATCACTGATTCATTTCAAGTTCTTATTCACATTGCATCATGTAATATACATTCATTTCATGCATATCCATTTTCAGAATGGTAGTAATATACCAATTTAATCGGTATGCTTTGTCCCTTAATTTTCCAATGAAGAAGATTAATATATTGGGCTCTTGGCTGAAACGTTCAACCCTGAACGGGCTTTCTCTTGTCCATTGGTTGAGGTTTATTTGTGTTAGCATGTCTGAAGTGGTTGAGGTTTATTTGGACTGTTTGTTTGCCTTTGAATTTTCTCAATATCTATCTCATGATTCGACAATCAAACATTCAATCTCTGTTTAAATTTTCAGGAACGCAAAATAGGTTTCATGGAAGCTATGAAACTAGAAATTGAACGCTTTAGGCAAAGTCTTTCTGCTGCCGAAAGAGATAGAGCTTTATTGTCAATTGGTGTTGATCCTGCCAGTATAAATCCAAATCTTTTACTTGATGAATTTGAGATGGAAAAATTGTGTGGGGTACTAAATGCCCTTGCACTTATTGGTCAGGCATCCTTCGAAGATAAACTCACTGCAGCTATTGGTCTTGACTTTACACATGAAACTGCTATAGATTTCTGGAATGTTACTGGTATCGAGGAAAGCTGTATGGGAGGCAAATGCCAGGTTCATGCTGAAGCAGGGCGTACAACAGTTGCATCCTCTGCAACATTATCTGCATTGCCTTCACAATCATTTTATGTTTGCTCTATATGTGAAAAAAGTGTTTGTAAAGTTTGCTGTGCTGGGAAGGGAGCTCTAATGGTTGGATTATACAACTTTAAGGAGGTCACCAATTTCAATGGTTTAGGTAGCGAAACAGGATCAGCGTATGGCAGTGTAGCTGGTCTTCCTTCCAACCGTTTGACTACACATGATGGTGTTATTTGTAAGTTATGCTGCCATAGTGTTGTGCTCAATGCGTTGATGTTGGATTATATTAGGGTTTTGGTTAGTGAGCGAAGAAAAGCCCGTGTTGATGAAGCAGCACAAAAAGCTATAAGCTATGTGCTTGGATTTCCATCTATGAATGTTCTTAGTGAGAGACATCCGTCTCGTGATTCCCAGATGTGTAAAATTTCTAGGCAATTGATGAACGGAGAAGAGTCCCTTGCAGAGTTTCCTTTTGCCAGCTTTCTATACCCAGTAAGTTGTTGAACCTTGTGTTGGTAAGATCGATATAAATTAAAAGTGTGCATCATTCATGTCATTCAATGTATTCTGAATTTTCTTTCTCAGCTGATGTTTTTGAACAAAAAATATGGCATAGTGAATCCTTGTGATACCTTAGTACTAGTTTGTCTTAGAAAACAAGAGCTACTATCTAAGTTATGCTCTGTACTTGTGGGTAATGGTTTTTGTGTTTGGATTTGTATCTTTGATATCATTAGCACATGGAAATTCTAAACATTATGAGGATTAATGGTTTGGTGGGAGGCAATGCCACCCTCTAGCACGATGTAAGCTTTATATGTAAGCAAAAATAGGTCAATTGTCATTGCAAGAAAGCAGTTGTTACTCTATGACCTAAAAGATAACTCTGTAGAATCTATTAATTATTAGGGCCAGATATATTAGAAGCTGCATACACCCACTCCTTCTAGACCCCATTGTGTGGGACTCCACTGGGTAAGTCATTGATGTTGTTGGAAGTTAAGGAGTGATTGCAGGTTTACATACTGATGTCTAATTAATCCCACAGAATATTATATATACACGTGTATGCATACTTACCTTGGAGAAGTTTAAAGTGTTAAACATCTTAATGTCTTATGTTTCTATATTCTTCAGGTCGAAACCGCAGCAGGTTCTGTGCCATTCATGTCATTGCTTGCGCCTATCAATTCCGGATCACGGGATTCGTATTGGAAAGCTCCATCTAGCACATCCTCTGTTGAATTTGTAATTGCTCTTAGTCAATTTTCTGATGTTTCTGCTGTTCTTCTTCTTGTCAGTGCTTGTGGATACTCCATGTCAGATGTCCCCATTGTAAGTACACTTTGGTTTCCTTTCTAAAGTGAATAAAATGGGCAGCTTAATTTGGATCTCTGAGTTATGTTTCTTAAATTAAACAAAAAATGCTAGATGCATATTCTGTTTGCAACTCTTATGTTGAGGTTGATTGCTATATCTTTATTTATTTGATAAAATATTAATTCTTTTTTCGTTCACATAAGAATGAGATTCTAAATTTTCCAACTCTTATGTTGATGTTGATTGGTATATTCTTGTTTGATAGAATATGAATTCTTTTTCATTCACTTTAAAATATGATTTTAAAGTTTACAGCTCTCTATGTTGAAATGTTGCTAGAAATATGGAGTAATTGCTAATGCTAGAATTATATCCGTATTTTGTTTCACAACTCTCCCAGTAGAAGTATTCCATACTTCCCATCCTTAAGTTTAAGCCTAAAGAATCAATTCTATTAGATTAATCTTAATATATGGATCAAAATGTTACTACATGTGTTATTAAAATTATATCCATGAAGTACTCATTTTTTGGGCAGGGTACAAGTTTTTAGTTGTAATAAATTGAAATTTATCAGTTATACCTATGTTTCTAAATTTATTTGTGGCTTTACTAAATTTAATACACATTGTTTGATACGCTTCTTTTATAGGCATCATTAAATATGATGAAAGTTCATTTCTTTTGCGTAAAAAGGACTTTCTTTAGACAAAAAGCATTTAGGGACAGTGCATTTTATTTTATTTTATTTTTGGTTCTATCCAATACTGTTTTAGTTACAAGAAGATACTTCCTGGCAGGTACAAATTTGGGTCAGCAATAAAATTGAAAAGGAAGAAAGGACTTGCGTTGGAAAGTGGGATGTCCGGTCCATGATGACTTCCGAACTTAGTGGCTCAGAAAACTCGTGCAAAGTACCCAGACATGTCAAATTTTCATTCCGAAATCCTGTTAAGTGCCGCATTATTTGGATAACGTTACGTCTTCAAAGAATTGGGTCCAATTCTGTTAATTTTGAGAGAGAGATCAATCTTTTGTCCCTGGATGAAAATCCTTTCTCAGAGATCACTAGACGCGCCTCATTTGGGGGAGCAGCTGAAACTGAACCGTGCCTTCATGCTAAAAGAATCATGGTCTTGGGGAATGCACTCAATAGAGATATAGGCACATCAAATGAAGCCACTGGCCAACTGAATACAAACTTGTTGGACAGAGGTCCCCAATTAAACAGATATAAGGTGCAAATCACTTTATACTGTGCTCCTGAATGAGTAGTTATTCCACATTTTTTTCTTCTGCAATTGTGTATAAGATCATCTCTCATTTTCCAGGTTCCTATAGAGGCTGAAAGGTTAATGGACAATGATCTTGTTTTGGAGCAGTTCCTGTCCCCAGCTTCACCTATGTTGGCAGGATTTCGTCTGGATGGTTTCAGTGCCATAAAATCTCGGATCACTCATTCCCCGTCTTCAACTTACAGCTCACAGAATGATCTTGCATGTCCTTTTGATGAGAGATTCATATCTCCTGCAGTCTTACATATTCAAGTATCTGCATTCCAGGTAGAGAGGCCAGGAAACTCAGTTTCCTCTAGTCTGCTTTAAGATATCTAAATACTCCCCCGTTCTTATGTACTCTTCCTAGTTCGGTTTACAATATTTAATTAAAGTAATTTTCAATTCAGTTTTATTTAAAAATAGGTGTAAAATTAAAAATAAAAAAGGTTTAAAACTTACTCGTATGGGACCACTGTTATATTTTTAGAATCAAACTTTGGGGCGCCTTTAGTTTAATTGTACATGTTGTAACGCTACAATCCGGTGTTGGCCTTCAAAAATAATTGTGAAATGTTTGATATGCCCTTGTGAGTAAGTTTTTGTGGACACCTACTCCACGGAATGCCACAGCCACTCTGGCCTCTCACCCACCATATCCATATCCTACCTTGACCTCGCCAGCAGGTGGACAAATTTCAATTGGATCTAGTTGGGAAAAATCTAACTTCAAAGGGCGTATTGGAAATTTGAAAATTATTTGTAAATGTCAGCACCAGATTGTCATCACATAGCATTTACAATTAATTTAATCAAATGATCAGTAAAAAGCTTCTCCCTTGACCCCCCTCTCCAAATTTCATGGAGAAGCTTGCCTATGTTCGAGTCCGAGTGGAGGTAGAGGCATTGACTCACTGTGTGTTATTAGGTTGAGAAGGTATGACAAATACTACATTGTAATTGGCTAATTGAGTCGATAGCACTCAAAAAAAAGAAAAAAATATCACTGAAAATATGTAGGAATGGAGATGTGGTTTAACTGTGTGAATATTGTTGTTTATGGAAGAGAGGGGTAAGTGCTATAATTTCTTCCCTCAATATTTTCAAGGAATTCAAATATCTAACCTTGAATTGAAAATCATCCTTGATCTTTATATATTATCAGGAACCTCACAGCATGGTCACTGTGGCCGAATATCGTCTACCAGAAGTGAAGCCCGGGACACCTATGTACTTTGACTTCCCGAGGCAAATAAGCTCAAGGCGTATCGCATTCCGCCTTCTTGGAGATATCGCCGCATTCACCGACGACCAAACAGAACAGGATGACTCATCAGGCTACAGAACTCGCCCTGTCGCTGCCGGCTTGTCCCTCAGTAACAGAATCAAGCTATACTACTATGCGGACCCGTATGAAGTTGGCAAATGGGCCAGTCTCTCAGCGGTGTGATTCACCCAAGAGCCATGCTACAATCCCACCGAGGATGACACCATTAGTGTCTCACGCACGGTAAATTTCTCACCGACAATTACTGGCTGTGCGAAAAATAGGTTCCGGTGTCAATTTTGGTGTCAAACTTGGTCGGTTTCTAGTACATTTTGTACAGCCAACACGGTCCCAAGAGTTACGCTGTGCCTGTGCTTCTGCCGCGGATCCTTGCATATGATTATGCCGAAATGAAGCATGACACTGAACATGATGAGTTGTTTTGATAGATGATTTCATTGTAATATTAAGAATATATATATTATTATTGGTTTATGATGTGTATATAATAGCAGATATCCTCACATTTTTTATGAAGGTATTATTAGAAAGCTGGTTGTATTTCAGTTTTGTGAACTCTGATATTGACTGTGTTGGGATCGTTGAGTCGGATGACTCGTTGAACTCGGATTGCTTTACAAGTAGACTCCTGTGTGAGATGCTGCTTTTTAAATTTTACTCAGTTTGAAAAATATAGTACTTCTGCACTTATATTTAAAATAAATTAAACAGAAAATAATGTTAGTCGAACATGACTAACGTTTTAAGAAATCTCGAATGTTCATTTTGAATAAACGAAATGTTCACTTTTAATCGTAGTGTTCATTCTGAAGCTTGTTTCATATAGTCTTCATTCTGAAATAATGTAGTGTTCATTTTGAAACAATGTAGTGTTTATTTTTAAACATGTTAATTCAGGAACAATATGGTGTTCATTCTAAAATACGGAGTATTTTTTTAATTATAAGTTTGTCATGATATTCCAAATAAGAAGGTGCATCGAGCTATACAATATAGTTTGCCAACAATATAATTATCAACGTCCTTTTTAAAAGTAAGTTCATGATAGAAACAATGTCCGGGCACTAAAACGAGGGATCGATGAAGTACTAATTAGTAATTAGGATGCAATAGTTTACTTTTAGGCTCCGTTTGGAGTACGAAATTCAAACATTGAAATTGGGGATAGCAATTTTTATTCTGCTATTTGATAGTATAAAAATATGTGGATTTAGAATTGGTACTACCACAAATGAATTGGAATTGGAGATTTCAATTCTATTCAAACCAATTTTATAAAATTTCAATTTTCAATTCAATTTCAATTCTGCCAATTCCGTGTACCAAACACAATTTTTTTGAAAGGATGCAATAATTATTCGGCTTAAAGTACGTAGTTGGCATCCTAATGTTCCAAGAGCATATACTGTTTTATGACTCATTATATTTTGAGTTAGTGCAATAATAATGATTACACTAATAATTATTTTGAAATAATTATTATATTTCAGGAGTTACAATGTTACATTAGCATTATATTTTACACTTATTATCCTATAATTAAAAGAAATTATTGGGAGGATGGAACTTCATACATGCAAATAAATGTGGTTTGTATCATTTTTAGGACTTTAATTCAATATAACTATTCATTTGATCAAATTTATCATATCTTTTTTCTTTAAACTCTGTATAATTTTATTTGATAAAAGAAAATTATCCAGCAGTCTTTTACTCCTATTTTGTAAAAAAAAATTAATGTACATTCCAATATATAAATCATAATTTACGAATGTAGCTTTTGTTAATAACTTGTTTAATGAAATACAGAGTCACAAACTTCATTTTAGGAAGGAGTATAACATTTAGTGCTTGAACTATACAAAACATATTATACAAAGTGAAGACAAAATTAAATTAACTTTGAAAAAAATAATGTTAAAAGATACCCGTAGTAATATTTTCAAAACGTACGTCAAAATTAAATGCTAAAGTCAATTCCACGCAGAATCATGATCACGTTTTTTAACATACATTTGCATTACCAACATATAGAGTACTCCGTGTTATTTTCCAAATAAAAATGCGAGCTAGAATAATACCAACTTTGGCACCACTAATGATAATCATCTGTAAATTTGTACGCACACATGATATAAATATTTGTAAATTATGTATATTCACAAAAGATTATATCATGTGTACATATAAATTAAATTTATCCAACGGAAGGAGTTGACTTTTAAAGCATGTTATATATGCATCAATTATAACAAAGAATGAGAGATTCTCTAACCCCCATATCATCTTGTAATTAATTTATGAAAATAATAAAAATGCTACTAAAATGAGCTTGAAATTTAATGCATATACCCAATAAAACTATGTATATATAGTCTCTCAGCTCACTTCACCTTTCCATTATCATTCTTTGTTCTTCCAAATCCTAGCTACATTGTTTCAATATCTATGGCCATGGGAATGAAGAAGGCTAGCCTTGGGAGGCAAAAGATCAAGATAGCCAAAATAGAGATAAAAAGCCACCTCCAAGTGACGTTCTCGAAGCGGAGGTCCGGTCTATTCAAGAAAGCGAGCGAGCTCTGCATCCTATGCGGGGCGGAGATTGCCATCATCGTCTTCTCCCCCGCGGGAAAAGTTTTTTCCTTTGGGCACCCGCATGTGGAATCGATCATCGATCGATTCCTCTCAAAAAAGAATAATAAAAATAATAATATTAGTATCAGTAACAATAATTGGCATCATCAACAACCAGACGCTACGATGATCAATTTGCTGGGGGCCCACCGGAGTGCCAGCATCCACGAGATGAACATGACCCTGACTCAGATGATCACAGAGCTGGAGGTGGAGAAGAAGAAAGGAGAGATGCTCGACAAGATGAGAAGTGAGAGCCGGAGCCAGTGCTGGTGGGAAGCCCCGATAAGCGTGCTTGACTTGGAGGAACTGGAGCAACTGAGGAACGCCATGGACGAGCTCGGGAATGTTGTGGCCGCTCAGATAGCCGACATTGTCGACGGTACTTCTAAGTTGTTGGCTATGAGCAACACAATGGTTTTGGATGAATTTGGAGCTCTTGAGACGAAACCACAGGGGAACATGGTCAATAGTCACAACAATCATCCCACCTATAACTTTAAATTGGACCAATTTGATGGTTCGATTTATATCTAAACACCATGCTAGTGCCTTACTAGCTAGCCAAATGATATTACTATATTTTTTGACATAGCTCTAGGTTGAATTCAACCAAGAGTTGGGGTTTTTTTTGGAATACATCAAATGTTAGATCATAATTAATGGAATTGTTATTGCTTCATTTGTTTCATAATTATATATCTTCTTTTTCAATTTGGGTTGTCTCAGTTTTTCACATACGCAGTCCATATTAATTTTCTTTTTTCATACAAATCACATTCACCCTCATTTTACTTTGTTAAAATTTGGGTCAGGTCAAACTTTGAAGATAGTTCTAGAATGGAAGGTGTAACTTTTATTTGTCGCATAGGGATTAGGTGCTTCACTTGTATTTTTGGTGAAAATTTAATAAGTGGTCCCTAAGATATTAAATAAATTGTCATCAATTTTCATAAATTATTCCATATATAACCGGTGCTTCAGAAACTATATGTGAAAATAAAATTTTATCGAATTCAGCATAAAAGACTATTTATGAAATAATTTTCAAAAATTGAAGATCATTCATGTAATGTCTTAAAAATGAAGACTAAATATGAAAACCATCTGTAATTAGGGTAAATTGGGTAAATTTTAAGAAATTTACTCTTATATTTTTCTTATCAATCCATTAAATTTGGAAAAGCACAAGATCTATTCCTAATAAAATTAGGTAAATTCTTTCGTAATCCTTAGGTTCATACTTATTATATGAAACTTAATATAGAAAACGATTACCTGTAGTGGGCCTTGTAAAAAAAGAGATTCAATTATAATCGCATGAAAAAATGTGAGTACGTCCAAATTCACATGTGGACTTTAAATCACAATAACACAACTCTACTAATTACTAAGTGACAACATTCATATTTCTTTTTTGTGACAACATTCATTTGTGTTTATCGTTACTACTTTTAAAAAGAAAATGACAAGTCGTTCTATAATACTTCTAACTAGAAAAATATTTTTATATTTTTTTGAAATAAAATTAAACATCTTCTTAAATAAGAGTAAAGTTTAACCAAAATGGGATGGACATAGTATAATTTTCTAAGTAATTGTGTGATGGCAGTGTAATGGTAGTCGAAATATAAAAAATAAAAGAAAAAATTAAAAGTTGTTTGTACATCATATTTTCTCTATCAATCACATCTAGGGGTGGACACGGTACAGTTCCGGGACGGTTCCGGTTCCGGAACCGCCGGTTCCGGTACCGCCACCCCATGACACCGGTACCGTGACCGGACCGGACGGTACCGGTTCCGGTTCCCGGACCGGCGGTTCTGGTACCGGACCGTCCGGTTTCGGCCCCCCCTATTTTTTTTGCTTTTTTTAAAATTTTTAAAGTATAAAATTATAAATTTGCAATTGTTTAAGGAAAGAATAAAATAAAAAATCTAAAAATGTAGTTGTTATTTAAATGTTTTAAATGAATAATACACTAACTGAAGAACAACCACATTTAATATCCTGACGGTTCAAAAAAAGCGACGAGGTAAAGAACCGTAAAGAAACCCTCGAAGGAGCTTATATATCGCTCACCTAAAAAAAACTAATTACATATTTACATTAACATAAAAAAATTTATAACTTATTCTTCAGAACTCGGACTTCCATCTATGGTTGCATTCATGTAATGCTCCGATTCGAGTTGGTACGATGACTCTTGAGCTCGACGGAGTGTCTTCCTCGAGAACCGCGTGAGGTCGAACCGTCGGAGGTGGCTTTAGCTTTGCCTTTCCTCAAACTTCGGTTCACGTCGCCCATATCCACTGACCTTCTACCGGACTCTCTCGACATTTTAATATATATATATTTGATATTAAAAGAAAAATATATTAAATTTGGAAAATTTAAAAAAATTTCAAAATTTTATATATTAAAGTTCAAAAATTTCAAAAAATAATAGAGAATATATTTAATATATAAATTATATATTTTTTGATTTTAAAGAAAATAATATATTAAAATTTCGAATATTTCAAATAATTTCGAAATTTTATATATTAAAATATAATATATTTTAAAAAAATGTATAAAAGAGATAATAAGATATTAAGAATGAGAAATTGAGAATTTGAGATTTAAGATTTGAGAGATTGATAAGAATTAAGAAATTAAGAATGATAGATTGAGATTTGAGAGAATGAGAGATGGATTGAGTATTTGAGATTTGGAGTGATTTTTTAAGAAAAAAAAGGGGTATTTATAATGTTTTTTTACCCTCCCCTCTCCCTTCCCCC